CAGCACATATCACCTAAAGACAAGACTATTTCTACATAAATTATGTATGTAAACTGCATAAATTATACCTGAGAAATTTATAATTGTGCATCAATTTTAGTATTTCATATTCAGTTTTACCCAACTTTCCAAATAATGCTCTTTTCAGTGTTAAAAATATTTAGAATCCAATCATATATTATCTTCAATCTAGAACTGTCTTCCATGGCATTAATGCTTATAGGAGGCCCGGCCAACTGTTTCACAGAATGGCCACAATTTCAATTTGTCTGGTGGTTTTCACATAATTAGATTTAGGTTAAACACTTGGGCAAGAACATTCCCTTTATTAGTGACGTGAACTCAGCAGCAGGTCAGGAGGCGCAGCTCGCTCTCGGTTTGTCCTGTTGTTGGCGTTAAGTGTGATCTCTTGGGGAAAGTGGTGTCTCCTCCAGTGAAGGCACATTCTCTTGTGAGTAATCTGTGAATGATGCTCTGAGACTTCAAGAATATTCTGCTTCCCATCAAGCCTTCACCTGAAAATTAACATCCATTGATCCTTTACCGAGTCCATGATTACACTGGTAGTTACAAACTTGTCATTTACTGGCTCCATCATCTTCTGTATTAGCTGTCATTCTTTTATAAAGAAAGGTTTTTCCTCCCAGCCCTAACCCCAGCCCCTTTCTGGAGTTCAGTATGAACTCATGGATTCTTTGTGTATGGACTATTATATTCCATTATTATCATCATTCATGTTGATGCCCAAATTGTTTCCGGGTTTGCTGGACCTCTGAACTTCTGGATATGAGATGCATTTGCAGCATTTCCCACTCTGTGGTTTTCGCTCCCTCTCTTCTCTCTTCCTCCAAATTGTCACCTGACTTCTGTTCCAGCATAGGTCCTGAAGCTTTATCTGCATTTCCCCTCTTATGTATAAACTAAAGTTAGTGGTAATCTATCTCCTATTTGTGCTTTAGATGTGAAATATAGGTGGCTTTATTTGCCTCTTTGTTGATCTCTGATTTTTTGGCGGCTATGTGGTGTGATTAGGGTTAAATGGCTACAGTTATTCACTGGGACACTAGAATTCCTCTATTTTAACTATTTTTATGACTTCCTAAGAAGCAAAGTGCCTGATTTTCAAATGAAGTTTTCATTTAAACCTGGTGACTCTCATATGATCCAGCAATCCGAATCCTGGGCATATATGCGGAGGAGACTCTAATTTGAAAAGATACATGCTCCCAGTATTCACAGCAGCACTATTTACAATAACCAAGACATAGAAGCAACCTAAATGTCCATTGACAGATGACTGGATAAACAAGATGTGATATATATGTCATTGTGTATATGTGTGTGTACTCACACACACACACACACACACACACACACACACACACACACACACAA